TCTGTGCGTACCGCCTGACCCTGGTGAGGCTGCTGCTCTAGGTGCTAGTGCGTCTCCTGCTCTAGGTGCTGGTGAGGCTGCTGCTCTCGGTGCTAGTACGTCTACTGCTCTAGGTACTGGTGAGGCCGTGGCTTCAGGTGCTGGTGAGTCTGCTCTCTCTGGTACTGCGCCAACTACGGTCTCGCACACCTTCACCCTTGACTCAGGAGCTTCTCGCTCCTTCTTTCGCGACTGCACCACACTCACGCCGCTTCGTCGGCCAGTTCCAGTCTCCCTGGCGGACCCCTCCGGGGGTCCAGTCCTTGCCCACTACTCCACGGTTCTGCCGTGTCCGGCCGTCCCGTCCGGCTCGCTGTCAGGTCTTTACCTCCCCTCGTTCTCTACGAACTTGGTGAGTGGAGCTGACCTCCAGGATCGGGAGGTTGACCAGTTCACTCCTGCGAGTCAGCGAGTGACTCACTGTACGTGTGCTAGGACGGGCCGGCACTTGGCCACGTTCACCCGTGCACCTGGCTCGAGTCTGTACACACTGACCACTGAGTCCCCTCAGGTAGCTGCGTCTGCGTCTACGTCTGGTCAGCTGGCGGCCCCCTGCGAGTGTCGCGCTTTGTCGCACGACACTCTCCTGTGGCACCACCGTCTTGGTCACCCCTCCTTGCCTCGCCTGCGTCGCATGCACTCTCGCTCCCTGGTCTCTGGTCTTCCCAGGTCTCTGCCTGCCCTCCCTCCCTCGCCTGCGCCGCCCTGCATTCCTTGCGTCGAGGGGCGGCAGCGCGCCGCTCCTCACTCCTCCTCGTTTCCTCCCACAGAGGCTCCCCTGCAGACGCTCCACCTGGACGTGTGGGGCCCAGCCCGCGTCCAGGGACAGGGCCGCGAGCGGTACTTCCTGCTGGTCGTCGACGACTACACGCATTACACCACGGTCTTCCCCTTGCAGAGCAAGGGGGACGTCCCTGATGTTTTGATCCCTTGGATCCGCGCTGTTCGTCTCCAGCTCCGCGAGCGGTTCCGGCGGGATTTTCCTGTCCTGCGTCTGCACTCTGACAGAGGTGGTGAGTTCTCCTCTGACCTCTTGGCAGCCTACTGTGCGGAGCACGGCATCACCCAGTCGTTCACGCTTCCGGCCTCTCCATAGCAGAATGGGGTTGCTGAGCGTCGCATTGGCTTAGTCATGGAGGTCGCTCGTACCTCCATGATCCATGCGGCTGCCCCCCATTTCCTGTGGCCGTTTGCGGTCCGGTACGCCGCGCATCAGCTCAACCTCTGGCCCCGTGTCTCCTTGCCGGAGACCTCGCCCACACTGCTGTGGATGGGGAAGGTTGGTGATGCGTCGCGTTTCCGGGTCTGGGGTGCTCGTGCCTTTGTCCGCGATACCACCGCGGACAAGCTCTCCGCCCGCGCTGTTCCCTGTGTCTTCCTTGGCTTTGTCCCTGACGCGCCTGGTTGGCAGTTTTACCATCCCACCTCGCGCCGTGTCTTTGCGTCTCAGGACGTCACGTTCGACGAGTCGGTTCCCTTTTACCGTCTCTTCCCCTACCGCACTGCCCCGCTCCCCCCCCCGCCGCTCTTCCTCGCTCCAGGTGCTCCCCAGGTAGACCCCCTCCCCACTCCTGGTCCTGCTCCTTCAGGTGTTTCTCAGGTAGACCCTCCTCCCTTGACTGCGCCGGTTGAGGTCACTGGTGACTCAGGTCCTACTGAGGGTGGTCCTTCTCGGGGTGCTACTTCTAGGGGTGCTGAGCCTGGGGGTGCGGAGCCTGGTGGTGCTGAGCCTGAGTGTGAGGGGTCTGGGGGTGCTGAGCTTGGCGGTACTGACGCTGGAGGTTCTGGAGCTACTGAGGGTGCTGGCGCTGGAGGTTCTGGAGCCGCTGGAGGTGCAGGTGCTGAGGGTACTGACACCGGAGGTTCTGGAGCCGTTGGGGGTGCGGGCGCTGAGGGTTCTGAGTCTGCTGTTGCGCGGTCTCCTTGGAGTAGCCGCCTTCGTCCACGTGTGCCTCTCACCCCACAGCAGCTGCAGGACTGGTACGGTCGCCGTCAGCGTCGCGCTGCTGGAGCTAGGAGTGGTGCTGGACCTTTGTCTACTGGAGGTGCTGGAGTCGCTGGTTCTGGAGGTGCTCGTACTGGAGACACTGAGGCTGGAGACCCTGGGACTGGAGGTGCTGGCTCTGGGGGTGCTGCTGCTGGAGACACAGAGGGTGGAGACCCTGGGACTGGAGGTGCTGGTTCTGGGGGTGCTGCTGCTGGAGACACTGGGACTGGAGGTGCTGGTTCTGGGGGTGCTGCTGCTGGAGACACAGAGGTTGGAGACCCTGGGGCTGGGGGTGTCGGCTCTGGGACTGGAGCTTCTGGAGCTGCTGGAGGTACTGGAGCTGCTGGAGGCACTGGAGCTGCTGGAGCTGCCGCTCCTGGTGCAGCTGCGCCGACACGACTGTTCTTTGCTCCGCCGTCTCCGTCGTCTCTGCCGCCGTCTGACTCTGTTCTTCGTCAGGTTCTTACTCTCCCGTCGTCCACTGGTCTTCCGTTACAGCCCGGCTCACCGCTGCCTGCTCCTTCTCCTTACACTGTGCAGACTGGTAGTCCTGCTGAGCGTCGTGAGCCTGCGTCGCGTCCTGTTTCGCCTGTTCGTCCTAGTCGTACCGGTCGTCGTGTTCCTCGTTCGCGTCAGCCGGCTGTCCCCAGCGCACACCTCGTAGTCCGTCGTCCTTCCTCTGCTCCGCAGCCTGTTCCTCTGCCGTCTCCTCCTGCGTCCTCGTTGCCTGACGTTCCGGACCCTGCGTCTGACCGGTTTCGTGCTGAGCACCCTACTGTCACGCGTCTACTAGCCACAGTTGTCACTGACCCGTCGTTTGAGTCTGCTGCTGCGTCTGCTCTTGTTGCTGAGCTTGTTGACTTTGCTGCTGCCTGTCGTCTAGACTTCACTGCCAGTCTTGTTACTGAGTCTGAGTCTGTCTGTCCTCCGTCCGTCGGGGGTGAGTGTGCTCTTAGCACGGACGTCCTTGAGGACAGGCAGGAGGAGTTCCAGTGTCTTGCTGCTGCTTTACCTCATCTTGTGTCCTCGCTACTTGCCCCTGAGGGAGACCCGGATGCACCAGACATCCCGACTCCGCGCTCTTACGCAGAGGCGATAGAGGGTCCCTACTCCTCTCAGTGGCAGGCAGCCATAGACGCAGAGATGGCTTCCTGGAAGTCCACACGCACCTATGTCGACGAGGTTCCCCCACCTGGGGCGAACATCGTCAGTGGCATGTGGATTTTCAGGGTGAAGCGGCCGCCGGGTTCTCCGCCTGTCTTCAAGGCGTGTTACGTGGCTCGAGGCTTCAGTCAGCGAGAGGGAGTTGACTTCTTCCAGACCTTCTCCCCACCCCGAAGATGACCACTCTTCGGGTGCTGCTGCATGTTGCTGCTCACCGTGACTACGAGCTTCACTCTCTTGACTTCAGCACAGCTTTCTTACAGGGCAGCCTGCACGAGGAGATCTGGCTGCGCCGCCCCCCGGGCTTCACTGGGTCGTTCCCTCCTGGCACCCAGTGGAGCCTCCGGCGGCCGGTCTACGGTCTCCGCCAGGCGCCACGTGAGTGGCACGACACACTGAGGACTACGCTTGCGGCTCTTGGGTTTGCGCCTTCTACTGCTGACCCGTCGCTGTTTCTGCGCACCGACACTTCTCTGCCGCCGTTCTACATCCTCGTGTACGTCGACGACTTGGTCTTTGCCACTGCTGACACTGAGGCTCTCGCCCACGTGAAGTCGGAGCTGCAGAAGAGACACACGTGCACAGACTTGGGTGAGCTGCGCAGCTACCTTGGCTTGCAGATCACCCGGGACAGAGCACGCCGCACCATCACCTTGACTCAGTCACACATGGTGCAGCAGGTCCTTCAGCGCTTCGGCTTCACCTGGTCTTCAGCACAGGCCACTCCTCTGGCTACAGGTCACACGCTCTCAGCTCCACCTTCGGACGAGTCCGTAGAGCCGAGTGGTCCTTACCCAGAGCTAGTTGGCTGCCTCATGTACCTGATGACTTGCACTCGACCTGACCTCGCGTACCCTCTTGGTCTTCTGGCTCGCTACGTGGCTCCTGGTCGGCACCGACCTGAGCACATGGCTGCTGCTAAGAGGGTACTGCGCTACTTGTGCAGCACATCAGGCATGGGGCTAGTGCTTGGAGGGACGAGCCCAGTTGTCCTCACTGGACACTCAGACGCTTCTTGGGTTGACGACCTGGCTACTCAGCGGTCGTCACAGGGTTACACCTTCAGCCTTGGCTCTGGTTCAGTTTCGTGGCGTTCTACACGCTCGTCTTCAGTTCTCGGCTCCAGTTGTGAGGCTGAGATCTACGCCACAGCCATGGCTGCACAGGAGTTACGCTGGCTCACCTACCTGCTGACTGACTTGGGAGAGCAGCCTCGTTCTCCTCCAGTGCTGTACGTCGACAACAAGGCCGCCATTGCCTTGTGTGAGGAGCACAGACTGGAGCACAGAACGAAGCACATTGCTCTGCGTTACTTCCTGGCTCGAGAGTTGCAGCAGCGAGGCCAGCTTCGTCTTCGTCACGTGGCCACTCGGGCCAACACTGCTGATATATTCACCAAGGCACTTCCGTCTGGTGATCATCAGCGCTTTTGTACTCTGTTAGGCCTTGTACCTACGTTTCCACACTTGCTGTAGTCTCTGCTTGTACTGTGATCTATGTATATATATATATATATATATATATATATATATATATATATATATATATATATATATATATATATATGCATGCTGGCTCTTGCTAGGTAGCCATCACTGTACTGTTATTGCTGCATATATATCTCTGCATGTGAACTGGCCCTGTGGCCCTTTGCTTGTGCTCGGAATGCGTGGTGACGTTGTGATCCACCCTGAGCTTGTTTTGCTTCTCTTGACTGGTCGTGTGACCCATTTTTCTCCCCACTTTGCCTATGGGGGTGTGTCAAACTATATGTGCTGCATATTGTCTAGGCTGTAGTGGGGTAGCCCATATGGGGTACAACCCAATTAGGGTTTACTACTTGTACTCCTGCATCCTGTTAGTTCATTCATTCCTGCTGCTTGATTCTAACAAGTGGCTTACTCGTAACGCTACTGCTCGCCTCGGCATTCGCAACCACGTGCCGTTAGCCGAACGGGCGCACTTTGGCCAGCACAAGACAGCTAAAACACTGTTCGACGCTGTAGTTGCTCGTTACTCCTCCCCTGCCATTGCTGCTCTCGGCCGACTTATAGTGCCCTACCTTTTTCCCGAGCTGTCAGCCTTTCCCATAGTCGCCGACCTCATCACCCACCTTCGCACTAGCGACACTCTCTACCGCGGCTGCGCTGAAAACTGAGTTTCTAGACAAGAACCCTTTCCCCACGTACATCACTCCTTACTTCCTCGTCACCCGCATTCCTGACTCTCTTCACGCAGTCAGGGACCTCCTTCTTTCCTTGACCCCACAGACCTCACTGTCGACCTGCTCGAGAAGCACCTCCTTGCAGCTGAGACTAGCATAGTCGCTGTAGGTGCTTCTCGTGGCACTCCTCGCACTCCCTTCTTTGAGGGGTGTTCCCCCTCCCCCCTTGCCCCCTCTGTCGCTTCTGCTGCTGCTGTTGACTTCCTTCGTGCTGAGGAGGTCGGGGCTGCGTCTGCTCCTAGTGGGAGGCGCCGCAACGGCAAGGGCAAGGGAGGCAAGAGTGGTGGAGGTGGCAGCGGTGGAGGCGGTGGTGGAGGTGGTGGTGGCGGTGGGGGTGGCGGTGGGAGTGGTGGTGGGAGTGGAGGCGTCGGTGGCGGCGGTGGTGGCGGTGGGAGTGGTGGTGGGAGTGGAGGCGTCGGTGACGGCGGTGGTGGTGGTGGTGGTGGCGGCGGTGGTGGCGGCAGTGGGAGTGGTGGCAGCAACAGTGGTGACGGTCGTGGTGGAGCCGTTCAGAGGGGAGATTCTGGCGGTGGCTAGAGGCAACAGCAGCCTCTGCGCAAGACCCTTACGCCCCAGCAACTTCGTGAGTGCTTTGCTCAGCATGGGGCGCCTGGGGGTAGTGTTCGCTACCCGTACGTCATTCTCACAAGGTGATCAGGCTGGTCAGCCATGCGAGAAGGTTGGTCACACACAGTACCGCTGCTTCTCCCATCTTGGCGACGCCTGGCGCGCAGAGTTTGGCGACGGGGCTGAGCTCCCCGCTGGTTAGAGCTGCTTAGGAACGATGTCGATATCTTTGCTCTTGACTATGATGCTATCTTTGCTGCCATGTATACTTTAACTGTCAGTGTTGAGGGTGACTATTAGCTGATGTGCCGCCTGACCCAGGTATAGAGGCTGCTGCTCTAGGTGCTAGTGCATCTGCTCTCTCTGGTACTGCGCCTGCTAAGGCCTTGCACACCTTCATGCTTGACTCAGGTGCTTCGCGCTGTTTCTTTCGCGACAGTACCACAGTCACAGTCTCTCTGGCTGATCCCTCAGGGGGGCCAGTTCTTGCACGCTCCTCCACTGTTCTCCCGTGTCCGGCGGTTCCGTCTGGCTCACTGTCAGGTCTTCACCTCCCCTCGTTCTCTACGAACTTGGTGAGTACCGCTGCCCTCCAGGATGCGATGGTCACTACCAGCACTTCTGGGGGTCATCGTGTGGCGATTTGCACGTGTACACGGACGGGCCGTCACCTGGCCACGTTCACACGTCGGCCTGGGTCGACTTTGTACACACTGACTACTGAGCCTACTCCGGGGGCTGTGTCAGGTCAGGTGTCTGCGTCAGGTCAGGTGGCAGCCCCCGGTTCGTGTCGCCTCCGCACGCACCAGACTCTCCTTTCATCACCACCACCTTGGTCACCCCTCCCTGCCACGCCTCCGTGGCAAGCAATCTCGCTTCCTTGTCTCTGGTCTTCCCAGGTCTCTGCCTCCCCTCCCGTCTCGCCTGCCCTGTTCTGCCTTCCCTGCGTCGAGGGGCGGCAGCGCGCCACTCCTCACTCCTCCTCGTTTCCCCCGACGACTGCTCCCCTGCAGACT